AAAATAACAAAGGTTTCAAAAAAGAAGCATTAAAGAACTGTTTATATCTGTATATTGTTAATGTTATAAAGACAACTACTGGTTATAAATCCAAAAACTACTTTTTAATCAATCATCTTCAAAAACTTTCCAGTACTTGATCTTTCTTTTTTAGTCAAGTAGGACTCATAGTGACCTGAAGAATAATAGATATGAATGCTGTCTAATCTTATACCATTCTAATAATTTCTGGCATGCTTAAAACCATTGCAGAAGTCATCATCTGATGGAAGATCTTCCTTTCCAAGCATGATGTATCTTCTACAAATAATGTTGTTGTGGTGGTTATGTGCCATCAAGTTGTCTATGACTCTTAGTGACCTTATGTACAATAGCTCTGAGCCACACCCTATCCTGAGGCAATCTGATTATCTTTGACATCAACCCATTACCCAGTTACTGAGTCAATCCATCTAATCCAGGGTCTTCCTCTTCTGTGCTGTCCCTCCACCATTCCAAGCATAATGTCATCCTCTAAGGACTGCTCTCTCCTGGCAACATGCTCAAAGTATGTGAGAGAGAGGTTCAAAATATTTGCCTCCAAGAAGGAGTCTGGCTTAACACTCTCTAGAAGAGACCTTTATTCTCTTTGCAGTCCATGGTATGTCCAATAACCTCTCCTAACATCTCAAAAAAAATGTGAGATGAAGCTCTATCATTTCTTCAAGGTATGTTCTCACTGTACTTTTTCCAAGACAAATCTGTTCTTTGGCAGTCCATGGGATATTCAGTACTCTTCTCCAACATCAGAGCTCAAAAGCATCAATAATCCCTTCATCCATATTCAATGTCCTGCTCTCAGATGCATAGGAAGGGATTGAAAAGACTCAGGTGCATCATTATCCTCAAAGTGAAATCATGGTTCATCAGTAATCTAGAGAGGTTGAGACTGTAGACATCCCCAATGCAATATATCGCACAACATCCTGAACTGCTGGTACCAAGGGTGTTGAATATGGTTCCAAGTAAGACTAAGTTGTTGACAGATTCAAGTTTTTCTCCATCTATAATGATATGCCTATAGGTCCAGTGGTGACAATTACTGTTTCCTTGATGTTGAAATCTAATCCACAGTGAATCAGGCTTCTACCAGCTGTAGCAAGACCTTCAAGTCTTCCTCACTTTCAGCAAGCAAGGTTGTGTCATCTGTATAATGTAGGTCCTTGTTGAGTCTACCTCCAAGTCTGATGACACATTTTTCTTTGTAAGGGCAAATTTTGCAAAATCACTTACTCAGAATACAGACTTAATAGTTACGGAGAAAGGATACAAGCCTAATGATTGTAAATCTTGCTCTGGTGGCACAATAGCCTCTTAACCTTGGTTTCCGATCAGCACAGTTAAGTGTTCTGGGATTCTTTTCATTGTTAACCACAATTTGTTAAGATCCACACAGTCAAATGAATGTCTTTACATAAGCACAATAAGGCATTTTTCTTGTATTTCAGCTAGAATACATCAGACATCATCAATGGTACCTGTACTGCTATGGCCTCTTCTAATCTTAGGTTACACCTTTCGCAATTCATTATGAAAGTACCATTCTGGCTGTTTTTAAAAGATCTTCACCAATATATTGCTTATATGGGACATTATTGATATTCTTCTATAATTTCCGCATTCTGTTGGATAAAAGTTCTTGGGAATGGAAACAAATATTAATCTCTTCCAGTCAGTCAACCAAGAAGCGATGCTCCAAATTTCCTGTCATAGGCACATACAGGACTGAATGTGTTAGGTGAAACATTTTGATTGGTATTGCATTGATTTCTGAGGGCTCAGTTTTTGCCAATGTCTTCAGTGATCACATTCCTGAAATATTAAATATTTCTTCCTATTTCAGTGTCAATTAATTCTTTCTGGTACAGTGACTCAGTGTAGTCCCTTTATCTTTTTTTTAATGCCTCCTGAATCATTCAATGTTTTGCTTATAGCACTTTTTAGTATTCAAAGGAAAGGTATACATTTGTTTTTCAGTTCTTTCAGCTCAAGAAATGACGAAGTTCTTCCTCTGTTCTTCTCCAATTCCAGACCTCTAAACATTCCATTATAATACTTTCCTTTATCTTTTTGTGCTTCCCTTTGAAATTTTCTTTTCAGCTCTTTTTCCTTCAGCACCTCTTCCCTTCAGGTGGGCTTCTTGACACTCCAGTCAGTAGTATGTATTAATATAAAAAAAGGACCAAAAAACTCAATGCCTTTAAGTTGACTTTGACTCACTCCTAGTCTTTCAAAATGCACTCATAGCGGACCTTCCAGCTGAGGTTCTGAGGCGCTAAAGTGCATAAGGGGAGACTGTTAATCTTCCTATGATGGTACTCCAAATAACAGATATTATGGTAAATCCAAATAACAGATATAAAGGAAGATCAATAGTATTTGAAAGACATTACAATATATGGTCAACAAAACAGAAATACAAAATTCTTTATCACAGTTAAATTAATGGAAAAATAATATTCAACATTTGAACACTTCAAGAATAGTTTTCATATCCTTTATTCCTATTCAGAGCGATTCTATACTCTTTTAAAGTTAATTTAGCTGAAAGCAGAAAACACAATATTCATTTGTGATTTATTGATTAGGCAAAGGCATTTGACTGTGTGGATCAAAACAAACTATGACTAAGAGTGAGAAGAAATGATCTGAAACCTATTCCTAGATCAAAAAGCAATTGTCCAAAAAAACAAGGGAACACATCTTAAAATCAGGAAACTTGTGTATCAGAGTTGTATCCTATGTCCATACCTGTTCTATCTGTAAGCTGAGAACCAGAATATATGAAGAAATGTAGCATCAGGATTGGAAGAACACTCACAAACAACATGTATTATGCACACAAGAAAATCTTCCTTGCTCTAAGTGAACAGAACTTGAAACACTCGTAGTAGATGAAAAAGTACAGTCTTCAATAAGGGTTACAACTCAAAATCAGAAAAACAAAAATTCTCAACACTTGACAAACAGGCAACATCATGTTACACTGGAAAAAAATATGCTATCAAAGAGTCAAGCGCT